TTCTGTGATGCTGTGCAGACGTCGCCGTGCTGAAGTGCTGTTGTGCTTTGCAGGATCGAGTGGAGCTGGAAGTGATCCAGTTAAACGCTGTACGAATTCACGTCCCCTCCGCGAGGCTGATCGCAGGCACTGAGGTACCGTGGCCCTCACTGAAAGCTTCCCATGGCCAAAAGATAAGGAAGATCCTTAATAAACGGATGAATAAATGCCTGTGGTTCTGAACCCTGAGCTCAGTGCTGACTGGAGTGCAGCCATCAGTAGAAGGAGCTCCTTTGCTTTCCAGTTCGTTCATCCCAGGGTGCAGCAGAAAGTAGCACCGTTAGATTAGAGAGAAGCACCAGCCCTCTGCAGCTGCTCACATGGAATTCAGGTCTTACAGCTCTGCCCTGGACTGGATTTCTGGGCTGGGAAGCAGCTCTGTGTGAGCGTGAGGGCAGCAGAGATGGATGTGGGTTGGTGAGGAGCCTGGAATGCCACGTCACAGCGGCCGGAGGGAGCAGCGTTGTAGCAGAGCGCTGTCTGGAATTCCTTTGTGGAGATTTGGAGGGCTGTCGTGTGCCTGCAGTGCTTTGAAAACCAAATGAGAGATTCTGAGGGAGGATTTTTTTTGCAGACAGAGCGGAATGCGTGTTTAAAAACGGAATTTCTCAGCTGCTGCAGAAGGGCTGAGTGCGTTCAGAGAGCTGCTCTGCTCCAAAACAGCAACCTTTCCTTTCCTCTCGGTTTCCCCGGAGATGCAGGGGCTGATTTCAGGTCTTGAAATACACATTCAGTGGATTTTGGGTGGGGAGAGGTTACGACCTCCTCCTCGCTGCTGCCAGGCATTTAAGCCAGGGAGAGGAGGGTTTCTTTTGTGTTCTAAAGGACTGCAGAGAATGCAGTGCTGCAGTGAGTTCATCACCTGTGTATCAGTTGTAATTCCCCTCCTGTGAGTTGCAGGGGTTCAACTCGATTGCTGATGCCATGTAATGAGCCCCATGTAATGAGCCCCATGTAATGAGCCCCATGTAATGAGCTCTGCCCTTCGTACAGGATTGGGCCAAGAAGCCCAGGCCGCAGGGAAGCTCAGATGCCCGCTGCTGACAGCATTCTTCCTGTGTGACACTTCTCTCTGGTGACTGTTGTTCCTCTGCAGATGCCCGTCTTCGTGGTGGGGCTGAACAACATGCTGACTCCCTTTTCCTTCAGCAACGCCAACCCAGAGCTGAGTTTCCAGTGGTCAGTGAGCAAAAGAGACGTCCTGGAGCTGCTTCCTCGGCACAGGGAGGTATGGAGAAGCCTCCAAGAGTGGCCTCACAGCGCAGCGCGTGGCTGAAGGCCTCGGGAGGTGGGACAGGAGCATGTAGGCAGTTGTTGATCCAAAGACGGGTCGGCCTGCAGCTCAGCTGCCTCTTCACAGGTCTCCATTCAGCTCCCAGCGCAGAACAACGTCGCTATGGTCGTGCGCACGAGGGCGGCAGGCAGAACAGGCATCAGGGTGAAGGTGCAGTGCCTGAACGCGTCTGCTGGGCAGTTTGAAGGCAACGTGGCTGAGCTGTCAGACGAAGTGCAGGTCCTGGTACGTGCCAGGGGCTCCTTGCAGAGGTGCTGTTTGGAGTGGGAGACACCTGGGGGCAGCCTGCAAGAAGAGCAGGAGCAGCAGGAAAGCTTCGTTTGGGGCGCACGTGTTGGGCACGGCTGCAAGGAGAGCTTTGCACCTTCTTGTCTGCCCTTGTGGTGACCAGGAGCTGCTCTTCCTTCACTCCTGACTTCCAGCTCTTGTTAATCCATTTCTCGGTGTCTCTGTGTAATCATTTCTTTTTGTTCTGCCTGTAGGTGTTTGAAAAGCTGTCTGTATTGCCTCCCTTGTTTTCCACTGAGCAAATTTTAATGTCCACGGATTCTCAACTCGAGCTGTACACAAACAGGTAGACACAGGAAGGAAAACGCAGAACGCAGGGCAGCTGACCTGCAAAGCTGTGCTTCTCTCCTGGCACCACGTGCAGCTGCCTCTGAGCTCATTTTTCCTGTCCCGAGATATTCAGCAGAATCTGACATATTTCCTGCTCCAAAGCTGGGAATTTGAAGCATGCTCTGCTTCAAGCTGCTGTCTGGAAAGAATGTGTTGAGTGTAGTTCAGCGCAGAGCAGAAAACACTCCTCAGGTTTTTAAAGGGGGTGAAACATCCCCTGCTGAGCTCCAACAGCGACGTGGTTAAAAAAGCAAACTCCTCAGCTCCTGCCTCCAAAAGAAAGATCTCAGGCTTTGCTATCTGCCTGTCCTGCTGGGGTTTTGGTGGTCGGTTCTGTTGAGATGTTGGTCTTGAGGAACTTGGGAGCCACCCTGAACGTTTTCAGTCAGGAGAAAAAAAAGAAAGAGAAGACGAGCTGCTGCTGCTCGTTGCTTGAGGGTGAAACGAACTTCCAGGCTGTGCAAATCTAACAGAATCTTCTTGCTTTTGTTCCTGGCCAAGGGAAGGGGCTGCGTCTGTCAGCTTCCAGATCCTGCAGTGTTACCCCAACTCCTCGGTCCTCGAGGGACGCGAGCAAGGGCTCCTGAGGGCCGGGCCCATCCCAGGCATTGCTGCGCTGGAGGTGACTTCCCTGGAGCTCTTTGGAGTCAATCAGACGATCGTAACCAGCATCCAGGTGAGGCTCAGGCAGCGCTCAGCCACCAGGCCTCACGCAGGGCAGCACCTTGGCTCAGCGCCTTTCCTTTTCCAGGTCGCCCCCATTTCCTACATCAAGATAAACGTTGGTCCCCAAATCCGTACCGGCAGCGGCGTTCCCTTGGCCGCCTTCCCCCTGGGAACGTCTTTGCTCATTGCAGTGGAGTTCTACAACAGCATCGGGGAGAAGTTTCACGCCCAGCACGCCCAGCTGCAGCTGGCTGTGAACAGGTACGGTCCTGAGAGCTGCCTGCGGCCCCTTTGACGTCATGAGCGACAACGGAGGTGCAGGGATCCGTCTTGAGCCTGAA